TTTGTCTGTGTACGCGATGGTCTATTCAAACGTAAAGTGTGACTCACCAAAGAACAATAATGTCTGGTTTAAGAAGACGTTCAACTACAGCTCAACCAGCCAATCAGAGACCTTCATTAAGACATAAAAGTCTACAAATGAGCTCCTCGGATTAGCTTCGGATGTGATTTGTGCTGTCACTGCTACAGAGACGAGATTGATGAGGAGCTTGAGAGCAAAACTTCGAAATGTACTTTACTTACAGCTGTACAGAAGTGCATTTCTGATGTGGACCAAAAACTCACTCTTATCCACTGCAGCACTGCTCGATCCAAGGTAACTAATGTAACGTAGCGAGCTAATGCACGTCATTTAAAATCAGCCAGATTTGAATGATCTATTTGTTAAGATAAAGGTAAATTGCACCGTAGTTGTTATTTACACGAACAACTACTTAATTCTAAGTAGGTAATTCATTATGATATCACGCTTGGTATCAGCGAGTACTAAAATTATTTGCTTGTACTCAGTTTGAAAAAAATGGTATCTATGCATCCCATTTCATTGCTGTAGGTTTTGCATTATTGGAAGACACTAGCTATCTTTTACGTTGTGTAAAATTGTGTGTAATTACTATTGCTTATAGATAATTGACCTATACAAATTGTCCAAAATTACATAAATCATGTTGCATTAACTTACATTTAAAGGTAAGTTTTTCCTTCTCCTGAAGAGTCTGCTTTGATGAGAGTTTTTTGGACCACGAGCTGCAAAATCAACTTTATACTGATGAAGATTTGCTGATAATGGTAGATGATTTACTTACATGCTTGAAAGTTCTCTGTAAATACTTCTGGTTTATAAATATCTGTATAAATTATATTACACAATTTCAGACAGACAGACAGACAGACACTTTATTGATCCCGAAGGAAATTTAGCAGCCAGTAGCAGTCACACAACACAGGACAGTAATAGTAATGGGGGTAAACAATATAACAGGAAGAATATCTACAGGCATATATACAAATAGTAAAATCCGACAATCTGGAATAATATCTATAACGTTAGATGAAAGTGAAAGTGGCAGTGCAATGATGACTGTACCAGGAGGCACTGGTAGTGGCATATATATTGACAATACTGAACAAATATGTGCAGATGTGTACAGGTAATGGCATATAATGACAATACTGAATAAATATATGCAGATGTTGGTACCAAAACAAAGTATCAAGGTGTGGAGTGTCTAGATGTGCAAGATACGTGATAGGGCTACAGAAAGTGCAATATGTACAGTAAGGTGTTCATATGTGCAGATGGATAAAATGAAACCTGAAGATTTTAGCATGAGATAAAACCTATGATTTAACATGAGATTTAGATTCAGTCCTCATCTCCCCTCTTCCCTCTTCTCTTCTGGCCATCCTGGGAAAGAGTTGAAGATGAGGTGGTATGAGGTGTGGTAGAGTCTAACTCTGCGTGAGCGCTCCAAATCCATACACTATTCCTAAGATATGCTCTTGTCAGTGGAAATTATTTAAGGTCCATTTGATTAACATCATCACTCATCATGTACTGACGGGAGCCATAATTATGCTGTGTAGGACCCTACCCTGGTCTTGCCTGCCTACGCAAAATGACTTCAGGGCTGTTTTGCAATAAGTTTATTATTTATTTATTTATTTTATTTTACATTAATTGAAAGAATGCACAGAGTAGCATTCACCTTGTACTTCAAAGAATAATTCTGCATTTATTTAAACTTCCATGGCGTGCATTTATTTAACCTTCCATGCTCTCCTTACATCTGCTCAGTGTGGCACAAGTGTGATTTTAAGTGCTGCATTCAGAAGCTGCTCTGCACAGGATTGATTTACTATTATTACTCTTTTATTTCCATTTTTTTAAAGCAGCAGTCCAAGACCATAGTAGTTTATCATTAATGCCAAGTATATGTGCTCTTGGATTTTCATGTCTGAGCTTTGAATATCGAAGACCCAACACAAGTGGTAACATTTTTCTTTTGCAGTCCCCTCAGTTCAAGATATTAACCAGGTAAGTGTGAACTCCAAAGTACTAGATACTTACATGATCGTAAGTTCCGAGACTAAATTACTAAAAATGACACCGTGGTGACAAGCATGTTCTAGCTCTTAAGCTGATAAAGTACATTTAGTGTAGGTCCAACGGTTCACCTTTCACAGTTCAATTTTAATGCAAGATGTGAAAATACACACCAGAAGTCTTTTTTAAAAAAAGAGAATGAAATAAGTTCATTTTAATAGCAAGATTTAGTTTATTTTAGTTGCAAAGTTAATGTAATGTTTTGTTCTTGCTGATTACATCAACAAGAAAATAAATGCTCATGTCAAAAAAATGTAAACGGCTCACAAATTAAATGTAGATATCATGTGAAATAAATCTAACCATCACTCAGTTTTCCAGTTTTCCTTTTATCAAGAGAGTAGCTAGTAGAACAACTTCCTGTCCATTGTATTTACAGTGAATTGTGACTTTTCCAGCTCTTCACAGAGTTTCTACATTTGTTTCTTCGTCCATCTTTGGCAACAAGTTTACATGTGCTAAAATTCGGTGTGCCTGGAATTCCATTCCACAGCTCAAGCACATTAACCAGTGATAAGAATCACACGATTGTACAAAATGGATGCATATCTAATGCAGTGAATAGACATATTGCCTTTCTGATTGCTTGAGCACAGTCAGAGGTAGAGGGGACGGTTTGGCACCGAACATTGCTGGAGGCACTGGCTTTGCCGTCGGTAACTTGCACGCTCTGTGATTGTAGGCTAAAAGTGGCTTGTTTTTCAGGAATGTCTGTTCACTTTTTAGTAAGAACCATTTTTAATCACCAAAGTAAACCTGAAATATTTTCATTGTGCTGAACTGAACAATACGTAGATAACCCTATGTCTATAGTGCTTTTTTTTAAACACTAGCCCTACAGGCCCAGCAAAATGGTGCTACATGTTACACATCATAATTTCTACAAGGCTGAAGTTCTTATTCGCCAGCTTTTTTAAATGGACCAGCAATTGCACTCTGGATCTTGAATATAACTGATGCACCATTTAAAGTGGAATGGGAGATTGGAACGAGAAGGCAACTTCAGCTTCGTCAAACTTTTTCAGGTCATTTTTTTCATAAATGCATCTCATACTCGTACCTCCAACCCTCAACCTTATTTTTCTTTTGCACTGTTTGTCACATTGTGCTTATTTGTGGCATAATAGCATAACCATTATGACAAACTCGTACCTGAGAAATTATTTTGTCTGGTATATCATTCATGCAGTCAAAATTCTTTCTCAGGCAGTTTTCGCCATGAGTTTTGTCATTACCGTAACCGCCACTACGGTTACTACTTGTAGTGTTCCTTACTACTGATCAGTAAGCAATTTCACTATATCGATATCATGTTTTACCTTTCCTGACCTTCATCTTTCCCCTATGCTGGTCTCAGATGACCCAATTAAACTCCCTCTCTTATTCCATTCCGCCCCTCATCGAGCTCTCCACAGAGCTGCTAAAAGGGTGCGAGTCAAGGTCCTGCAAAGGGCAGCTGTGGTGAAAGTGTCGTGGGTGTGAAAAGAATATGCTGTAATCATAGGATAGCCTGAAACTAGAGACGGGTAGCCTAGCAGTTTGTCTAATAAGTCCTCTCTTTACTTCAGTGGCCAGGACTAAAGAGCAGTTGCTGTACTTTTGGTCAGTGCGGTTGAAATCTCAGAGGGTGAGAACCTTTTGTCGACGTATAGAGTGGAACTAGAAGGAAATGTTTTGGAAGTCTGTCCAATTTGACAACAGGAAATTATTCTTGCATGAATTTAATAGCGAATAGCTTCTCTGCACGACTGAAATTGTAACTCCAGACTAGTGGATATTGCACAATTTCAAATACAGCTGGGAAATAGTTCTTTTAAGTTGTGTCTGCTGGGTAATCCAGCAAGTTTACCTATGTGGCCATATATAACAGTGTATGTTCTCCATCTACAGTATTTGTTGTATATTAAAAAATAGATTAGGCCTAAGTCATCATATACTGTTCAGACTGGGAGGATGAAATATCCTGTCTGTCCTCTATAAATTGGGAGAGTCATCCTGTTTCATTGTATGTGCTGAGACCTCCAGCCATTTTGCAGCAGTAATGGTTTGATAAAGGTGATGGCTTGGGATCTGCATTTGGAAGTCATTTCTTCTATCCTGTGGCTTTTACTGGGAGAATATAGGTTAGAGCCCGACCCTTATGTCAGCTTACCGATATTATCAAACGCTGTTCGCCCTTGTTCTTTTGTATCAATGGTGAGGCTTGGGCTACTTCAGCAGGGCTAATTTGCATGGAATTTGCACTGTGAATCAGAGACACTGTGACTGAGAATATAAATGAATCTTTGGGTGCTGTTGCTGTAGAGATGGAAAACAGGATATTTTATTATTATGCTGAAAAATTTTCAGTATCGTGATGATGAGCATATTGTGTGTGTCTGTACAAAAGAACACTGAACAATTGGGGGGGCATAAAATGTGGCATATGCCCAGGCTTTTTCTTGTCACATTTCATGTTCTATTGTTTCCAAGGTGTTCAGTTCAACAAATAAGTAGTAACTGTTCAACAAAATGTACAAAAGTGTGCTCTCTATGGATGACATGTTAACTTTTCACTTAAAAGCATCCCAACATTTTTTTCCATTTTTTCAAGACTGAAATAAAAAAACAAAAAAAAGTGTTCCAAGTTTCAGCAAAATGACTAAATATCGGCAAATACATGAATAATTTGTCATTCTTCTAAAGTCTAACATTGTTTTTGGTATTGGTTCTAATTTAAAGCCCTGGTTTAAGTTGAATGCTGCTTATATCTGCAGTGTAAACAGCATCTGGGACTGTGCTATAACAGGATATGCTACATAATAAGAATCCTGATTTCATCATTGTAGTCCTGGCCTGTGCTTTTATAGATGGCTCTGTTTGATGGGGATTTTTGTATGCTCTATTATTTCCAGACTGAAGAGACTCCCCCCGGCGGTGTAAGGTTGAAGGCTGACATCCCAACAAGACCTGATCACATGGTAAGCTGAGATAAGCCCTTTAATCATCCTCAGACAACATGGGCGAGTATTTGTTTTGGTCAGCATCAAGCCTCCATCAGTCATGCATGGACCTGCAGGCCTGCAGTAATCCTTGAGGAGCAACAATAGCAATAGTCTTTCCATTGCTGGATTATACAATCTAAAAATGATTTACCATGTGTTTGAATACTGAAATGTTATTTCCTGCCTTGCTGTCAGTTCTTTCATCAGATATTGTTCCAAAGACTGTTGTCATAGTAACAGTGGGTGACGATGAGGATCACAGCCCATCTCGAGGCTAAGTGCTGTTTGAGCTACACTCTGCTACAGTACATGACGGGAAGCAGGCCTGGTGCTTCTCTGAAAGGCTGCAGTAGGCTATATCAAATGCCTTACAAGCATAAATAAGATAACTGACAGTTGCAAGCCAAGCTTTTGTGTTGTGTGTGTGTGTGTATATATATTGTCTTCTGAGTTTGCTTTGCTTTCTTGAATTGTTTACACTGAAACAGCATTATGATATGCTGGACTTAATTAGGCTGAAGCCTCATTAAAACCGAATTTTAACTTTGCACCGAGCACTTGGAGAGTGCTTGTTAGCAGCACCTCACTTTCAGCACTTTCCAAGATCACTCAAGATGATCTGACTCAAAAACTAGGCTGGCTGAAGTTCTCGAGACCAGAAATCATATTAAGATAGGTTTTGCTGGACAATTTTTTATGACAGCACAATATTATTTTACTAATATTTGATTCATACAGAACATGCATTTGCTGTTCTCTGCATCCTTCTTGTTTCTGTATATTATCTACAGTTACAGTGACTAGTTGACAAGATTGATTATGGAAGACTATGCTAATGACAACTACTCAACTAGTCGACTAGTAATAATTAAGTCATTTGATCCCTTATTTGAAATCTGTTTTTATGTCTCAGTTCTGTGATTCTGTCAGTGTTCTCTCTATGTTTGTTTTTTTTTCCCTCAATATGTTAAAAAAAGAAATGGTGTGCTAAAATTTGCAGAAAATTGCCATTAAGTTTATTCCCTGTAGAGGATGTGTTCATTTATTTTGCTTAGGAAATCAACAAAACATTTACATTAATGACACAAAACATGTCATTTGACTGGAGGTGTTTTGCATACAACTGTATGGGCATTCCAACAACTTGGAATACATTGGAGCCATGGTGCCCTGACCTTTTGTCTTGGCTGGGCCAAAATGTAGTATTTCTAGTGGGCTGAGGGCCAAAAAGACGGAGTAGCTAGCTAGCAACTTGTTGTTATCTTGGCGTTTTTGCGTGGTATTAGTATAAGTGAAGAAATTGTGTTCTTTGACTGTTCTAGTGGTTTCTTTCCATACAAGGTACACGACATCTCTGTACCACCACCTGCTATGCAATATTAGCTAGTAGCTGCTAGCTTCATTTGTGTTGGTACATTAGTGTTGCAGTCAGTGACAACTGTATGGTATTTTATAGCTTTACATGGTATGTTTAGTTACTAAAAGTGCTGTGGAATCTTTCACAGAAATATTAGAACCTAAAAAAATATGCCGTTGTATATTAATAATCAATGTACTCTCATTGGCTAAGTGAGTTAGGGGTAAGTCAACTTTCTGCCTTCGCACTTTGGGCAGCCAAGCACTAGCTTTGGGGCTGATATGGCTTTCGTTATTAGATCTTAAAAGAAGAAATCGCCTTGTGTAATGATGGTGGCAGCAGCAGGCTTAAGCAGAAAGCTTAATGAATTTGTTTGATTCACTGAATGAATCTCATGATTACCCAATTTTTGAACTAATTGTAAGGCCTGATATTATCTAGCAAGTAATGCAGTAATGCCCAAGCAAATCATAGTGGACCTGCCTTAATTTAAATGTTAAAGTGTCTTCTATTATTTAATTTTTTGAAAGAGCCAAGCTTATAATGGGCCACTGAAATGAATGATGTGAAGCCTTTTAAAACTCTTTTTCACATCATAAATCTTAATTCTAGATACTTCTGACAACCCGGATAATGTAGAATCACAGCTCAGACAGTTGTGATTTTATGATTAAGAAAACAAAAACAGTAACCTTCCTGCTTCTGTCGTATGCTTCTTCCCTGAAGCACTCACGATTAGGCCTTGTGGCTGTGTTGTACCTGATGCAGCCTCTCTGTGAACAATGGAGTGGCGTGTTTGATTCATCCAGAGGAAGTCTAGCTGTCTACAGCAGGTGCTCTGGCAGTTGTTAACGAACACCTCCTGTACCTTCATACTAGTGGGGGGAGGGGAACACTACACTAGGCTCTGTCTTCCTCCACGGTGTAGTGAGGGAAAGACTAGGCCTGCAAGAGCAAGCCTCTCACCTCAAACCCCCCTCCCCCCAAACTGAACTGCCGTTTTTGAGCTCACAGCAGTGTGTAGGTGGAATGACTAACGGCCCTCTGAAAAGAAACAGTGACATCTGCTTCCCTTTTTCTGGGTTTTGCTTTGAAGATTTGTAGTTCCAATTTCAGAGTTGGACTCTAAAAATTGGTGTTTTATTTTGGATTTCTCATTTCAGTGTCTTTGTAAAGCAAGTTGATTGTGCAACAAATGCTCCCATTTGCTTCTCTCCAGCACTAGTGTGTGGTAGGCTGTGCAGTAGGGCTGATCGATATTGGTCACATTGTGATATAAGTTTTTGCTAGGTATGCAGAAGGGCCAATGGTGATATTTGATTTTCAGTTGTCTCTCCACTGAAAACTATGGAACAGCTGGGTTGCTGTCGTCTGTCTACCTCAAACATGTAAACGCAGCATAAGGCTGATTCTTAGTTACACTGTAGAGAACATCTCAGTTTCTGCTGTTAAAATCCTTTTTAGTCTAAGACTACACTTAACCTAGGAGCTTTGGTTTATTTGTTAGCCCTGCTAAGATAATGCTAATTTTCACTGGTCTCGTAATAACAATTTGCCTGTCATATTAGCCTCGAGCTAGTGATAGTGTATACAATTTTTAGAAATTCTCTAAATACAGAAATAGGAAGCTTATAGTACATTTTTGTGTAACATCCTTCAATTAGATGTAATAGTTTAGATTTAATTGAAAGCCTGTCCTTGAATATTACTGAAGTCCATTAGCTTAGCTGAATGCTTGATTTACTCTAGTAAGGACAGAATAATGTACAGTTTGCCCACAGAAAGGCTGTTAACAGCAATAAAAAAAAACTGCTGAATCAGTCACTGACATGTTACATTACTGTTTACACTCTCCTTTACATTAGAGATTTGTGTACATGCAGCGGCTGAAATGACTGAAAGAATGAAGGCTTGCTGAGTGGGTGTGTTTGTGTGGGGCAGGACGTTTGCTCAGTATAATGCAGTATCAAGCAGCAAATCCTGACAACTTCTAGAATCACGTGCTTTCTGTAGAAGAGAAACTTTAAATTTTACTGTTTCTTGGGCGATAGATTTAGTGAGGAGTAATATAAATGTTAACTAGAAAGGAAAATGCGGTTTTGTTTAATAGGTGTAAAGTCTGTCAGAGTTTTCTAATAGCGTAGTGTATTGTAGTTGTTATTGTAAAATTTTTACTATTACAGTATCAAAAAGCAGGAAAGGATCTAAGTAGCACATAACAATTTTGAGGTTTGAGTGCACTAGCACTGAATGAATGCTTGTTTGATATTTAAGATTTAAGATTTTGACCAAATGATGCACTCTTAATGCAGGAGTCAAAAAAAGTGTGTGTATATACATACGGGTTACATGGACCTTCTTCAAGAGGAATTCTTCAGATTTCATAAAATTTCTGGGTAATTGTCATTAAGATGTAAACAGTCATTGAGAATGGTTTGACCTGAAATGATCCGTTTTAGAAGAACTTGTCTGAATGTTCACAGTGGTGGTGATAAGAACCATATATTCGAAGAGTTTAATGCCTCTACATCACAGACAGCTGTTACATAAAATGATCATAATGTGCTGCCTAATGGCTGAGACATTGTTTTGTGTAAGTTTTGGCCCGTTGCGTATTTTTTAAAAAGCAGTCATGACGGAGAGGTACATTCTGACATACATTGTAAGATAAAGTAGAAGAAAGAAAAGAAAACTTACTGTTTTGATTTACCACTGTTTAACCATGATCAGTATTATATATATATATATATATATAAGGGTTCAGAAAGTGTATAATAAATGCAGTGGCTGAATTGGTGTCATGGACATCCAGGTTCCAGATTTCTGTCACCACTATTACAGAGAAAATCTGTCACTTTCTCTTCAATGCACGTTTCACATTTAAGCACTCTGAATGACTTTGTTTACATCTGAATGATTGAAAAATCAGAGGAATGTTTTATTGCTCAACAAAGGTATATTGCAGTACTGCTGTTCGAATTGGATTGACATTCTTAATTGGCTTAATGCGGATGTTGAAATTCTAACAGATTTGTTGGAAGTATTACTTTATTCACCCATTATGTGAATTTGTCTGCATTGAAGGACTGAATGTGTTTTTGTGGACTGCCTTTCCTCTGCCTTGGTCTGAGAGGGCAGACCTATTTACAGTCCAGAGTACTCAGCAAAGGAGAGCTTTGAAGCTCATTTTGAATGAAGTCAATTCAGGTAGTTCAGGAGTCTGGCCCATGGCAATTCATGTTCGCTCACTGCATGCACAGGCAATGCTAAGATTTTATCAGGGAAATGGGGTGCATTTTTAGACACCTATGCCTTTTTGGAATCCATGGAGCGGTAAAAAAAAGTGCAGTTTTTTTTTCCTTTTTTAAATGGTGAAAATCTTTTTACTTTGGAAATCCTTTCCAGGAATCTCAGCTCCTCATTATAGACTGCTGTGGAAAAACAGGGAGGCAGTGACGTGTAGCCTACTTAGCAGGTGCAGCCTCACAAAGAGGCTTCAGAGACACAGGAGAGATAGTTTTGTGAGCTGCCCATATAAAGGAAGTGGCTTTTATCCCAGCATATCTCTCTTCGAGCTCCTCGTCTGTAGACAAGAGACTATTGATATTAGCCAAAATCTTCAGTCTCTCAGCCATTTCAGTTCAGGTATTTTTTTTGCTCTACTGAGCAAACCGGTTCATTTGTCTTTCAGTATGCTTTCAGAGGGAGCAGACTGTAGTTTATTTTGTGGTTTGGATAGTGAGTAAATTCAAGTATGTGTTAGTAATGAAATTTCTTTTAATATTTTGGTTTTCTATTAGCTTAAACTCGTCTAGTGCTGGCCAATATAAAGTCTTTAGTGGTATAAAGTGTAAACAAGTATTAGTGTCGCACACCAATATTCTTTTTTAATTTTAGCGATGCTGATAGATACCAAGCATTAGTGCTGGGAACAGTATCAGTAATTATTGATGACGGCCATGAAGTCGATAAATATATTTGTATCTTTTTCCCTCATTTTTAATACGTCTATTTTGTTTGCATTTTGTAAAGCTCATACTCTGGGTGAAAAGGCCTTATGGCTTCATCATCCCCCACCTTCCCCCTACCCCCTACTAATAGGGTGGAGTGATAGACATGGTCCAGAATGACTTAGAATAAAATCTTGTTTTATTAACTTCCATTAGAAGTTAATTAGGTTTATTCCTATTTAGAGAGATGTGGTTTTCGTTCTGACAGTAGTGATATCCATAATAGCGCTCTGTTTAATAAAATGGTGGCGTTACTGTTGTGAAGGGGGTTTAGTTTTTTAAATTCTACTTTGTGTATATATGGCATCCAAGACTTGAGATTAGATTTTAGATTAGATTAGATTAGATTCAACTTTGTCATTGTGCAGAGTACAGGTACAGAGCCAATGAAATACAGTTATTAAATACAGGGCACATTTTATCCATTTTTCTGTATTTGTAAACCATTTGTTACTACATTTCTCTACAATTCATTGTTTCTAAGGTGGATTTAGTCCCAATTTCTACATTTTATAAATGTTTAGATATTTGGTTATAGACAGGTATGTACATAAAAAATGTCTGGCATCAGACCAGAATTCCTGTGAAGATGGTCATTAAAATAAAGTTATAGAGTGCGACTGTCCTCACTTAAAGTTTTAGTGTCTTTACTTGTTTGATCAAACAACTATGTCCATGTCATTGTGTCGTTGTTCAGTTGTTTGTCAGACTGAAATAATGGCAGGAGCTATATTCAGCCTTCAGTCTGAACGCTGGCATTTCCAGAGTCACTTTTTTCCCTTTGTCATACAACTCAGACTGTGTAGTAAGAGACAATCAAGAGACAATCAAGAGACAATCAAGTCTGTTCAGTTTTATTTGTACAGTGTTCATAGCACCTGAAATACAGGTCCAGACAATGGCATGCAAATGGCATTTTCATAAACTTTGACAGTACAGAGCGATGACGCAGGTCACCCGTAACTGATTACAGCATAGGAGGTGGTGCATCAGATAATTCCCAAATTTATGTAAAACAAAAGGAAGCTGATCATTATGATGCCGTTACAGTGAGAGAGATCTGATCTTAATCCTAAGCTCGCCGTTATGTAGAACATGCGAAAGGATTGGCTGTACATTGTGCTGGCTGTCTTGAATGCTTTTTAGCCCAACAAAATAAACCAGCATGCACTTTTGCCTTGTGGAATTGCCTAGTAAAGGCCTTTTCCAATAAAATGAAACAAAAAAAGCTATACTGGCAAAAAACAATTTAATGGTCTAAGCATAGACATGCAATCTAAGCAGGACAACACATCTAGAAACTTTTACTGCATAGGTAAAAGTTCCTAGCTGTGCTGTCTCGCTTAGATTGTGTGATTAACTTAAATGAAGTATGTTATCTGGTTTTGGAATACCATGTCTTGTCTGCCCTTGTTTTTTTTTTCACTGACTATTCACTTTTTTGCTGGTGCATTTATTGTATGCAAGAAAATTGAAATATTTTTAGGGAATAGAGACGTCTGCGTTGCACAGATGTTCTGCTAATTTTGCTAAATTCAACTTTTTTTGTTATTGCAGGTGCTGAGACATTTGGACAGGTCCCTTATAAAACATTTGCATTGTGGAAAAAGGGTTGATACTGTGGTGGTAAGTAGAAATAAGTCTTGTGCTTGTTCTTGGAGGCCTTCTTTATTGATAATGGAACACATTGTCTTTGTGTTTCTGCTTTTTATTTTATTGCCACACCCAACATGGCCCAAAGTATGTGGACACCTGACCATTGCTCCTATATGAACTTATTATGAACATTCCAAAACCATAGGCATTATTATGGAATGCACCTCTCCTTTGCGGTTATAATAGCATCCACTCTTCTGGGAAGGCTTTCCACAAGATTTTGGAGAGTGTGTCCGAGGGAATTTGTGCCCATTCAGTCAAAAGAGCATTTCTCTAAAAGGTCTTTGTATGTTGTAACATTAACGTTACCCTTCCCTATAACTAAGGGGCCTAGCACAAACTCCAGACTATTACTCCTCCTCCACCAAACTTTACTGTTGGCACTGTGCATTCTGGTAGTGATGATATTTAATTGGTAGGTAGCATTCTCCTGCCATCTGGCAATCCAGATTCCTTAGACTGGCCGATAGTGAAGCGTGATTCACAACTTCAGAGCACATGTTTCAGCTACTCCAGAGTCTAGTGGAAGCTTGCTTTCCTCGACTCCAGACGATGCTTGGCGTTGCGCGTAGTGATCTTAGGCGTGTGTGCAGCTGCTTGGACATGGAAAACCATTCCATAAAGCTCCCATCGCACAGTTCTTATGCTGATATTTCTACAAAGGCTGTTTGGAAGTTGAGTTGAGTACGACTGTTGAAATGTTGGCAGACACTCATTTTGAAAAACAGATCAATACTTCTGTTAAAAATGTGTTTTGTGATGTTTATGCCCTCAACTGCAGCAGGATATATTTAATTGATCATTCTTCTGTGCCTCTGCGAGGGAGGAGGTTTATGTAAAGACGTATTTATAGGTTGTGTAAACAAAAAAGATTCTGTAGCATCCTGGTTTTAATTATACATTGAAGCCTTGAAACTAAACAGAACCTGATTTGGACTTACTTGATGTAACAACCTGCAGTGATTTACTCTGAAGCTGAGAATTAGAGTATTATGTTTACTTGAATACAGTAATAGCAAAAGCTTCATGGCACACTGTGGTGATTATGCAATTTAAAATGAGTTTTTTAGAGTTATGAACCCGTCTTAATCTTGCTGCATTTCTTGTAGTAGAATCTAGGGCTGCACGTTATGGACATATAATGCGAAGTTTAATAAAGCCGTTGGATATAACAATGCTCTGTTCCCTCCAATTTCATTATATCACTTTGGCGCTACATGGGAAAGGTGCTTAGATCTGCTTGGTCAGCGCAGCTTTTACGATGTGTCACAGAAACTCATATGGCAATAACGATAGAATTATCATATGTTGTGCAGAAACTTTAAAATGCAAGAAAGTGAAATTGTTAATATTAGTTTAGGCTGCTGCGATATCTGTATAAGCCTAGCATTAGCAGGTCTATGCAGGCTGCGCATTGTAGGCTAGGCACTTGTTTTACATTTAGTTGTGATTGTATGTTTGTTCACAGCGACTGGATAGAAAGTGTTAAACTGAGCTGCATAACCCTGCTAGGCCCACTAGCTGGGCAGCCAGGGAATAGATCCATGGTAACGGTGTTTGGCAGGCAGAAATATGAGGTCACCCTTGGATAACCTGTAACAAAGGCCTTTGGGCTGCACTTTGATTGTCTGTTACCTGACACATCACACAAGCTGAGTAACGGGCTGTATTGAACGCTAATGTACAGTGGTTCATTTAACGCTGATTTCTGACTAATCAAAGCTATTTATGAAATGACTCCATCTATCCTAACTTACTTCTTCACTTCCAATTTAGATAAGAACTTAACAGCCTTTATAAGCACAGACCCTGCAGAGCTGGCCTTGAATATGTTACTCATTAGTTGTATGTCTTATGTGTGGAGGGGAAGGAGGAATTCCTGGAATTGTTCTCAGCTTGTCTTCAGACGAGGAATGATAAGAGCTGACTGCTTAAGATTGAAAACTAATTTGTCATTGATTATTCCCTTGCTACAACAGTGAAGCAGTCGTCTTTATTTGCCTGTCAGGTCAGCAGTTTGGGGGAGGTGATTATGGAGATGTGGTCTCAGGGATGGCTTGATGGAACATGTAGTGTAAAAAGATCACAGCTTTGTCTATGAACATCTGAGCTATTTTAGATGGACTAAAGATCTGCAATAAAGAATCTCTTTTCCAAGAATGTAAAAAATCTACTCCTTTTTTGTGATGTAAAGAGTTTATTCTGCCTTACTTCTGCTCAGTACAGTGTATTTCTTACAAGACGCAGTGGTATAATTGAAGAGCCTTTTTGGCCGGTCCTTGACAGTAAATAGGATAATAAGTGAATCTGAAGGTGTGATTCAACTGCATAGAAGTTTTGTTAGCAATGATTGTAAGTGAGCATTTAGACTTTTGACCTAAATTGAATTTTTACATCTTTACAAGGGTCAATACCAGTTACTGAAGCCAGGGGTATACCTGGTATGTCTTGGTTAATTCATTTTTTAATAAGTCAAATTTCCTTTGTTCTTTTGTTGTATTACATAACATTTATCTATACATACTGTTTAGCTGATGATCGAATAATGATATACCTGCATATGTCAAAAAAAATTGAAACATTTCATGGGGTGTACTTACTTTTTCACATTACTTTATGTGCAAATGATCATTATTAGCAACCAGGACCAGCTACCATTCAGCTTGTCTTAAATTGATGTAAAATACGTATGTATTCTGTGGGCTGTCATAACCACTATGAGAGCTAAATGACTGTCTACAAATTACATTGCAAGTAGCAATCATCGGGGACCAAGCACCACATGCTTTTTGGAGCCTGGAGAACAAACTGTTCAGAATGACCTCGATTTAGAATAGATGTGGGGTCTCTAAAGATTTCTGCCAAATTTTGTATACCCCGTTTTTTTTGACAGTTCTTTTAACAAATACCTAGTCAAATTATCTGGAAATGACTTGTTTGCATAGTTGGTGAACTCAGTGAACCTAATAATTCCACAGCAGTTACTGCTGTGTTTTAGTCTCACAGTTCACTAGAATTTCATGTTAAAATCACTAGCATTTTGTCTTAGGAAGGATGTCGCTGGACCCCACTACAGGTGATTGGTCTCTGAACTTTACTGTGCTGATGAGTTTTCATGTCTAAAACAGGGGATAACCCAGTGGCACATTGTCTAAGGTTTTTATTCGGCTGGAGCAAAACCTTACACTATCATTGGGAGATTGCAGGTCTGAATCCAGGCAATGCCACAACCAACACAACCTAATAATTGCCGGTGCATTGTTGCCGATACCAATAAAAACGTGTTTTGTTGATATCAGCCTGTGTTATCGTCCCACCAGTATATCGCAGAGAGTCTTAACCTTTTTCAGAGTGCAACTTACTATTCAATATTTTGCTACCCCCTCTTCAACCCATGCTGGCCGTCCCACACACACACACACACACACACACACACACTAGCATACACATTACACAAAAAAATTACCGAAGATTACAAAAGAATAATCACATAGTAAGTCTAGTCAATCATTGGACCCGCAATCCACTAATTTTTAGCCTGGCACTGAAAAAGTGCCTCAAGTTTAGTGGGCTGTCCAGACCCTCCCTCAGTAACAAGCCCACTTAATAGAAATTTATAATCAACATTAACCTGTTTTCTGTGGCATGTAGGCGGAGCCATTCAGGAGCACTTGCACCTATGAAAATGATTGTCACCGTATTTGATAAGTTTTATGACTTGTATCACTGATATGTATCACTGCTCTTGCCACTTCCCCCAGGACCATGCCACAACCCCTAGGTTAGGAACCTCTGGGCTAAAGTATCCATGGCATTGCGATTGTGAATTTACCCTAAGCATTCACAAGCCAGATAAGCTGATTAGCGATGTGATACATCTGAGTAAATACTGCATTTTCTGTGAATGTTTTCTTTTCAACTTGAATGATTCACATATCTCTTCATGCATTGCTCAGAAGTTTACAGTTGATGTCTGGGCACATAATGGTGAATAGAGCAAGTCCAGTTTTTGTCCAACAGAGAGTTTTTGTTTGACAATAATAATTTGTTGCGACAGAGTTTCACACTATGAAGCATTTTTTCCTCCTAATCGTTTGTCGTTGGGCAGTCACTTTGTTCTTCTTTTGTTATTGGCTCCTTTGTTGAACGATACTGTATTCATATAAATTCCACTCCTATGGAACCCCTGGAGCTCTTCCATCCAAAAGAGAAGGCAGAAAATGTTGTTCATAGTTCCTTCAAGGATTTCAACCATGTCAAACCTCTACAGAAAAGCCTTTCCCCGAATAACCTCACATTCCTCTGGCCTCTTGAGTGCTGTAGAGTGGCGATGTGACTGCCTTTCTCTTGATCTGTCTTCCACCTAAAAAGAAAGAAAAATACTCCTGACAGAAAAAAGGGCTGCACTCAACCAGCCAGCCAGCCAAAATTTTCTTCTAAGTCTAACTTTTTTGGCCAAAGTTTTTTTTTATTATTTTTTTTTATTGTTATAATAATAATAATAATAATAATAATTGTTTTTGGTTTTTTTTTTGGTCTTTTAAAGGTCTCTCATTGTTGAGAAAAGGGAGTGTCCTTCCTTTGACTGTAAATCAGTTGGATTGCTTTGTAAACATTGAAAGTTCCAAAACCTTGCATCCCTGCAAACTAAGGGCATTTTCACACTAGAGACTCAAGACTCTTTGCCCTGAGAGTTCGGTACATTTTGGCCACGTATGAATGCTGTTTCTGAGCCTGGGAGCAGTCCATAGAACTGATCTCTGGTCATACTGAAAATGGTGGCTTTGCTTCATCTATGTGCTTCATGGTGGGGTCCACAGAGTGAATGCTGTCTGCTTCTGGCATTGTGTGTAGAGTAACGTGATTGGTTAATTTTGCCACATAACCAGCATAATACTTTACAATAGATGGTAAAGACCCATGTTCCCCAAGAAGAGAGAACCCAACTTGATTTTTGTTTCTTTATAGGT